GTAATAACCACATATTCATAAGTAGATTCATTAGAAAGCCTACTTAATTATATTTAATTAAAGTATTAATTCATTATTGTGTGACGTTCAACTATCGAGAAAAATAATAAAACTTGCGAATGTATTTTTCAGTTTAAATAATTAATTATAGGCAAACCGTAATAGGTACAAGTTTCACAGTAGGCCCATTGGAAAGCCAATTAACTTTACTTTAATTAGAGTATTAATTAATATTTGTGTGATGTGGGGATGTTGAGAAAAATAATAAAATGTGAAGACTTAACATTTTCATTTTTCATAATTAATTATAGGCAAACCGTAATAGGTACAAGTTTCACAGTACAAGTATTAATTGATATTTATGTAAGTTGAGTGTGTTGAAAAAAATAATAAAATGTCAACATTTTCAATAATTATTTAATTTTTCATTACGTTTTATATATCAATAGTTGTGGAATTAAATGTTCTTTATTGTAGATTAATTAAAAATAAGAAAAGTATTATAGTTGTCTTGAAACAAACAAAATAATAAAATTGTTTTTTTTTTTGGTAAATCTTTTGTTTTGTTCAAATAGTGACATCTTTTAATTAAGCCAAAAAGTTTTAACTTATAATAAGGATTAGATAACTAGGAAATGAAAGTTTCTACTTTGTTGTACAACATGTAAGACATCAAAATTCTTCTTGTACTTCTTCAGAGATGGTATAGGGTTTTAGGAAAACCACCCCTAAAATCAGCTGATTACTAATAGCAATCTCAGACTTACGTGTCTAAATATAGTGATGATGATTTGTTAATTAATGTAAATATAAACGAAAGAAATTGAATAGTTAAATGTTTAATAATTAAAGGGAAACTTTTATATCAATGTTTACTTAAGCTTAAGAGATTTCCTTAAAATTTGGCAACAATTGTGTTACATGTTAATGTACTAATTGTTTTACAATCGATAATTAAATGAGTTAATTAGTAATTAATGATGATTTTAATGAGTAATTTGCGTTGGTGTGCGAATGGTTGAGCTTCCACGAAGTGGGGAAATAGTTAAACTTCTGACGTTTGTGCGACGTGTGTCTGGTATCGATTGTTGTTGATCCGCTCTTCGAACTGTCAGATATCCGTCAGTTTCGTTTGCGGCGGTGTTATTTGTGCCACGATGGCGACAACGCCACAGGATAAAAACATTGCCAAAATCGAGACCGCAATTAGCATGGAGGGCCTCACGAAGACGACCCTTCCAGCGAACACCAACAGAAACGTAAGCCTTCTACAACAACAAAGAAAAAACCATATCTAACCTCAACCAAAACAATCCTCATCCCCTTTTTTTTGATTGAAACAAATGATTAAACAACCTCCGATCACCATAACGACTGTTGTTTGATTGATGCATGCAACTGTTTTAGTTCGGGGAGATTGCAATAGAGGCCTCGCAGATTGTCAGCCGATTGGAGAAGGTTGCAGAGGGTGGCCCCACTCCACCTGAGCAAGGTTCCACAGTGTTCCTGGGTTTGCTTCGAAGGGAACCCGATGATATACTGCAGACCATACAGGGTCTGATCAATGTGGAAGAGGATGGACCTCCACCAGGTTTGGATCCTGTCGGGAAATTGGTCATATCATGTCACAGTTTGGCTGCTTACTGCGGCGCCCTTGACAGGCACACTCTGCAGAAGCTCAGCACAAGATTCACGACGGACACGACGAGATGGCTGAGCCAAATGTTTGGGTGAGCAGAGAGAGTTTAAGTTGCCTTAAACCAACGACTATAATTCCATATTGTATTGATAACGAGTTGTTTGTTTGCTCAATGATTCTTTAGAAATTGCTTTTGTTTCGAGCACGAAATGCCTGCATATAATTGAAATGTGCGTGTTATCAGCGGAAAAATTGCATAATTGGTGATAAGATTAACTTCGTTTTTCCGCAACATTTTACAATATTTTTTTCTGAGTTAATTAATAAACAGCGGGTTTGGGTTATTTTCGTCGCAAATTTACTCGGGAGATTGCCAGATTTTGTAATGGATAAAAATACTCTCCGCGTCTTTGATTTGCGTAAAATATATTATTTTTACATAGAAACCGTTTTCATAATCACATTTCTTAAGACTTTATGATTAATGAATGATGATTTTCTTTGTAGATTCTTGGACTGCGCTGCTTTTTACCATGATGATCAGCTGGAGGGTTTGGTTCGCGTGACGAGGATGATGCTTCATTACAAATACCCTAGATATTTGGAGGATGGAGCTCTGGCGTACAGCGCGTCCCCGCCCACCATCTACAGCAGCATGGCCAGCCCACTGGGCGTGGTTCAGCATCTCTGCCGCCAACTGGGATTACCCCTATCCTGCGTCCGACCCGTTCCTGTCAATACACATTTCGGTAGTTGCAACCATTTTCGTTTAATTTATAAAATTCATGTTATCAATTAAATAGGTTCCCAATACACGATGGACGTGGCGGCTCTTCAGAAGATGATCGCCGAGGATATATCCGCTGGACGGAGTCCGTTGCTGGTCGTTGCTGATGCCGGTACACCAATCACCGGTCATCTGGATAACATGAGCAGGTTGCAGGAGTTGTGCAAGGAAAACAACATTTGGTTGCATCTGAGGGGACACAGTTTGGCCGCCCTCGCTTTACCATTGCAGCCGCACAGCGCGCAACCGTCGCCGATCGCTGATAGCTTCACGCTGCCCCTTGGTGGTTGGTTGGGATTGCTCGGTTTACCTATGGTCACCCTTTATAGGTTGTGGGATAAATCGAGCGCGAACAGCGAGGGTAGGCAACGGCAGTTGGGCGCGAGTCGCGAGAGCACTCTACCTTTGGTGGCGGGTCTCACGAACGATCACATGGGAAGGAGGATCCTGGCGCTTCCGCTGTGGGCGGCGATGCAGGCTTTAGGAAGAGAAGGAATCCACGCCCGAATCAGAGACAACTTCTTATCCAGCGAGAGGTTGTGGGCCGCCGTCGATTGCTACAGACAAGTCAGAGTGTTGGTAACTATTTCTATGGAAACAAAGAAGACACACAGTTTTAAAAACGCCCTCTTTTGTTTGCAGAGTCAGAAACCTGGTGGCGAGAGCGGCGCTTACACTGTATCAGAGTTAATTTCAAAACCGATAAAAATAGCGGTAATTGAAAATCTATATCATTTTTTTTGTTTATAAATTCTTATTTTTTAATAATTTGCAGTTGCTATTTGAAACTACAGCGTGCAGCGTCGTCTTCCAATTCGTGCCGGAGCTGAGCGAAGGCGAAACTTTGGGTAGGATTCCGCCGTACTTTGATAAATTGAACTCTTGGTTGGGGCAGATTCTGCAGCTGGACGCGCCCCAAGTGCCTATCGATATTTGCGAGTTGGAGAATTGCGGCGTCGTGCTACGCTTCTGCCCGTTCGAATCCGCAGTCGGTCCGGGTCCTAGTTTAAACGATATCGAGTCGTTCGTGCAGTGTCTGGAGCAGCAGCTTATTATTCTGAGAGCCACGATTCAGCATAAGGAAACGTTCGTTAAATTAATAGATGCGTCTCCGGTGTTGAGGATTGTCGAGTTGCCGGAATGGGCGGGTCTGGGCGGAGTCAGGTACGCGCCGGAGGGATGGGAGGAGTTGTTGACCGATCAAGCGAAGGAGGAGCTCAACAATCTGAATATGGCTTTGGTGGATTCGTTAAGATCCACGGATTCAGCGTTCTCTTTGGGAGAGGGCACGGATGGTTTGATGTGCGTGCGGTTCGGTATGCTGACGCCGCAATCGGATGTCGAAGAGTTGATTAGTCTGGTGATTAGAGTGGGTCAGTCTGTCGAGGAGAACTCGCGCGTTCTGGATTCGATGAGCGAGATCCTCAAGAAGGGTATAGAGACGGCCACTTTGGATCTGCAGAAGGAGAACGAGGAGAGGTTGTGGCAGGAAGGTATCTTGAGGCAGGTGCCGGTCTTCGGGAGTTTAGTGAATTGGTGGTCGCCGAAGACCAAGGAGACGGGCGTCAGAGGGCGGAGCCTGAACCTGACGCAGGGCGTCGTCGAATCCACCGAGAACATATACAAGTATCACATGCAGATGCAAGGGCGGAACGTCCAAAGCGGTAAGTCTTAGATTAATCGATATTATTTAATACGAAATAATTACATAATTGTTTGCAGGTGTGAAAAGTCCGCCAACGCCGCAAGTGCAAACCCCGGTGGGCGGGAGCCACTCTAGGAGCAGTAGCCACGCCTCCAGCCAAGGAGCGCCGTCGATAGGCCAGTTGCAAACTCAGTTGACGAGCGTGAAGATTGACAAGGAAACGACGCCGGAAAACGGCAATGCGACAACTTAATTTTGGGGGGATTTTTTTTTCTTTACGTTTTCTGATTAGAGAAACAAGCAATTACTATTTTCTTAAATTAACTTATATATATTCCATCGATGGGTGTTTCCCATTTATTTATTTTTTTGATTTTATCGAGATGAATTACAAATAATTTTATTAATTTTGGTACGAATAGGCTGTATCTAGACTGATCCTCGCCAATCCACCAACAACAACAAGAATCCCCCAAAAATAAAAAAATGAGTAAAGTAAAGAGAAAATCATCAGAAACGTTTTGATTCTTCTTAATTTTAATCTATTAATAATATTGTTCATCTGCTCTGTTCGATGTTTGTTTTCTGTGATAAATGACCGTTGACGTTGTTTAGGTTGCATCAAATCAAAGTATTATTTCGTTTATTTATTATTACTTTTTTTTTGATTTTTCACCCTTTTCTAATTACTATTCTTCCTCCCCTTTCTTCATTCCTAACTCCTCATTCACGAAAGAATGCAATTCTTCGACGCGTTTCGAACGGAGTATTAACGATAGCATTTTGTCCTGTATGGGGCGGAGTTAAGCTTAGGTTTTTGAGGCGTGGCCGGACGACGATCCGCCCATCCCGCAAACCGTTTTATGCACATACTGTATATTTATTATACGTATTTAAAAAATATGTGTTTTCTTTATATTGATTTAGATTTATTCAGAAACCGTTCTCTCTTTGTGTAATTTTATCTCTTCTCTTTTCGTTAGTTTGTAATTTGTACCAAAGAAGCTTAAAAGTTATATATTTAAAACAAAAAAAGTACACCGAGGAAATTTGATTGTTTTGTGTGAAAAAACAACATAATACGAAGAAATCATCACTTTAAACTAATATATTTGACCCGAGAACAATAATAATTGTTAAATAATTAATAATAAATGAAAAACAAGGCAAGATTTCTTTTTGTGTTGTCCATGAATAAGAATTTAAGTAACCTCAAGTTAAGATCATAGTTAACTTGATTAATTTGAAACTTTTGTTTCTTCTTAAGTTAACTAAAGATATTTACAAGTAATTACGTAATTCTCTTATTTTAATTCGAAATTTGTGGTAAATGGTATATTTTCAATAAAAATGTGTTCCGAGTTGTTGCAATAATTTATTTTAAAGCCAAATAAATAAGGTACGTGTGCGTATTATATATATTCAGGGTTAGTCAGAATTGCGTTAAGTGTTGTTGTTGTTAATTCTGATTGGTTTTCGTAGCTTAATGCGTGTAATACTCTTTGATGAATTCTAGGGCGACGCCGTTCGTCCATCCGAATCCGCTCTGCACGGTGTACTCGCCGCCGCCGCCGTACTGTCCGGGCACCTCAGCGTCGTACTTCTCGAACATCTCTCCGGTTTCCGTGAATCCGACGATGTTGGCGTGCAGCCAAGCGGTGGCCAACTCTTCGGCCTTCTTCTTGGCCTTCTCCGATCCGCTCTTCTGGAGTCCTTGAACCATTATCGCCTGCAGCGGGGGCCACGCGTTCGGGAAGTCCCACTGCTCGCCGCTGCGGATCAACGAGGCCGGAGTTCCGCCGCAATATTGGAAGACCTTGTTCTTCTCCAGATAGTCGACCACCTTATCGCCGATGTTCTTGTTCAGAGTGTTGAAGGCGCCCGTCCACAGAGGCGCAAGATTGCTCGGCCAGAAGTACTTTCTTTGAATTCCCAAAACGTTATCGAAATCGTACCAGATACCGTCGTCGCTGTTCCAGAAGACCAAGCTGATTGCGGTCTTCAGCTTTATCGCGCGCTCCAACCATTTCTTGCTCTTGTCCAGCTGATGAGTCTTCAAGTACATCTTGGAGAGATCGGAGAAGGCGCGGTACAGGAAGCTGTTCAGATCGACGGGAATCGATCTTGAGGTGTGAATATCGGAAAGATTGCTGTTGGGAGTACCTTCAGCGTCGAAGATCCAACGCGTGGTGTAATCCCAGCCACTTTCAGCGCCTCCCTTCAGATCAGTGTAAACCCTTTGCTTCTCAGACTCGGGGAAATGATCGACGGTCAAGTAATCCTCCCTGTAAGATTCCGGCCTCGGCCCTAAACTTTCCGGTTTATAATTGAACATCTTCAAAGTCATCTTGTTCTTCTTCACCGACACCATCTTATTGTCGACCCAATACTGAAGCTCCGCATCCAAATACTGTATATTATCCTTCAACCAGGCGACATCCTCGGTGGCGTCAATGTAACTCTTGACCATCGGCGTGAAAAGCGGCGGCTGAGACCTCTTCAAGTAATACTTCCTGAAACCGTTCGGGATGAACCCGTATTCCTTGATCAGAGTCACGAAGTTGTCCAGCATTCCTCTAGCTGTCTCGTGCATTCCACTGATCAGCAATCCCTTGATGATCCAGTAGGTGTCCCAGTAGTAAGTCTCCTTGAACCTTCCGCCGGGAATGATGAAACCTTCGGTAACGGGAAGAATCGAGTATCTCTCAGGATGCTCGCGGACTTCCGGTTTCATGATGCGCGTCAACTTTGGCCAAACGCCGACCAGATCTTTGGCGAATTTATGCATGTCCGTGTCGTTGATGTCCTTCAGGAATTCGGGTTCCGGGTTGTAATCGTTCGGTGTCCATTCGGAAAGTTCGTTGCCACTGTCGAAGTGGTCAGTCACGAACTTCTTCACCTAGAAAAACCAATGACAATTGTTAGTTATGCAACTCGACACTGAATACCATGGACGTCGTTGATCTTCAAGTACAATTTGCGTGAACATGATCGAAATTCTTGATGCGATCCATCGACACTTTCGATTCATTGTTTATTCATCTAATTCCGTTCGCGAAAACCATTGATTTATCGCAATTTCCTTTTTAAAAGTACGGATTTTCAATGAACTTTCATCCAATTTTATATTCATAAACTTAATCAGTTAAGTGTTCTTATAAAACTGACACTTAAGCAAAAACAAACGCAATTATGTCAACAACTGTTACTACTTTTTGTTTTTCTGTACTATTAATGAAATTAGAACAATCATTCATTTTGCAAACCGTTCGCACTATCATTAAGTTATTTAAAAAATACGTTTCTATAGCGATTAGACAACAAATTGCTATGGTAATATTCCGCACTTAATTATAACCAATGTTGTTGTTGTTGTTTTATTTTACTGTTTGCGCATATCATTAATTCGGATGGATTGAAACGATTTGCGCAAATTTCGCGATTGTACAACAAACTGCAGCGTCGGAAAACCATTTGAATAAGTAATTGCACCGCAATTAACGCCGGATAATTGCAATCTCCTCGACTCACTCGCAGAAACACGATCAAAAATTTACTTTTTTTGTTGCTCTATTTTCTTTTTTTAATGTTTTTTTTTTCTTTCTGCTTCTTTTTCGCATAGACTTTTTGGGTCAGCCGATTTCCCATCGAATTCAGACACTAAATTCCTATTGCAAACCGTACAGCAATCAATTACACTTTTACGGATTTCCACTTTTGTCTGTTTCTTTCTCCTTTTTTTTTTTGCATTCACGAATTAATTGGCTGTGAAAACTTCAAGTTTCTCACTTCCTTTCAGTGTTCGTTTACTTTTACATTTGCATACTTGATTTGTGCAAATTGCAACAATTCTTAACTTAACTAATAATAAGTAATTTTGTTTACAAACATGATTTGTGCAAATTCGAACATTTCTTTTCAAACTTATATAAATCTTAGTACTTTTTATAATAAAATGTAATTTGAATTCCTTTTTTTTTTTCATATCAAAATTTATTTCATTTGCGCAAATCCATCAAATTGGAACATTTGTTAGAATAACTTACAAACTTCTAAAAATCATTACTTAATTTACACCAAAATGTAATTTTTATTACCTTAAAGATCTTCTTTTCGACATTAATGTAACTATAAACATGATTTGCGCAAATTCGAACATTTCTTCTCAAACTTATATAAATCTTAGTACTTTTTATAAAAAAATGTAATTTGAATTCCTTTTTTTTCATATCAAAATTTATTTCATTTGCGCAAATCTATTAAATTGGACCATTTATTAAGACAACTTCATCCGTTTCTTCTCAAATCCTATTAATATATGATAAAATATCGATTCTATTCATTTCAAGTATTTGATTTGCTTTCAAAATGAATTTGAGTGCAATAATAATTTGCGCAAATCCATCAAATTGGAACATTTATTCTCAAACTTATATAAATCTTAGTAATATAAATCTTTTATAATAAAATTGAATTCCTTTTTTTTCATATCAAAATTTATTTTATTTCTTCTCAAATCCTATTAATTTATGATAAAATATCGATTCTATTGATTTCAAGTGTTTGATTTGACTACAATAATAATTTGCGCAAATCCATCAAATTTCGAAAAATCATTACTTAATATACACCAAAATGTAATTTTTAATACCGTAAAGATCTTATTTCCAACATTAATTTAAGTATAAACATGATTTGCACAAATTTACTAAATTTATCACATAAATTCCAATCATTTATATGAAAACTTACAATAATATCAACTTTCTGACTTCCCTTGAAAACAATTATTATTATATCCATGATTTGCGCAAAATCATCAAATTAACATTTCCATTTACAAAACAGTATTGAATAACAAAGTTTGCACAAATCTTTAAATTCTACAACAAAAACAATTCTTACTAGTAATTAATGTGTGAGAAGCGAAGATTACATAATCATAACAAACGTGCATTTCGAGAATATAAAAAACGGTTTTTCCTATTGAAGAATCTATAATTTGCGTTCTATTATCGAAGTGAAAGAAGTCGGCACACGTATTATTGGCCTTGCAAGGTCTTTCATATTTATTTCTCGAGAGCAGCAAAAGAAAAAAGAAGTAAAATAATTACCACAAGATTTTTTTTTCTCATAATTAATTAATCTTTAATGGAAACGCGATTCGATGATTTGCAAACTCGTTCGTTGTTTTTGTATGTTCTAGTCGAAGATTCTTAACGGATCCATTAGAAAACGTGTCCGAATATTAATAAACTAATTAGTTACAATCGAAAACAGGTTTTTTTTTGTCTTCATTTCGATGACATTAAAGAACGATTAACGAATTTGTATAGAAATCAAACTACTTTTTTTTAACTAACTTTTATGTAACAATCTTTGGATACGTTTAATAATAAGTTCGCAAGACTAACTCCAATACATGAAAGAAGATACTAAAAGTATCGTTGTTACATAACGCTGCATTTACTTCCAAATTTTCAACTATTCTCACGAAAGTTTAAATTCAAATTACTGATGTTAAAATTCTTGCATGAAATTCGTTCATCTTTGAACGTGAACATGTAGCGTGTATAGTAGTAGCCTTGTCGCAAAGTACTTGATCTTTTGTCATTATACTTCTTTTTTTTCTTCTCTCTTACTTCATTTGTTTTCTTGTAAACAATCGCACGACCTTTTGTTCAGTCGATGCAAACTGTTTTTTTTTTCAATTAAAATTTTATTAGATTTGCAAGTAAATTGCATAAAAATCAATCAATTATCGCGATTGTTTAGAGATTTTCAAATGTTTTCAATATTAGAAATTTTCTAATGTACACTAGATTTATTCACGATTTACTTGCACATTGAATAAGCGATTATTTTCGTTTACAAATATAGTTTAACATAAAAAGAAATAAATCAAGGTGACTTCAATTCGGTTTAAGGAGAACAAGATTTTTTTTCTTTTGGTTGTTGTTAAAGAAATTAAATTTACTTCCGAGAAAAACTAAATGTAAGAGAATGATATAAATCATACTTATTTTAATTTCATTTACAAAAAAAATAATCAATTTTTCAATGTTAAGTAATATTTTTTTTTGTTGAAAAATTTTCCAAAACATTTTCCAATTTCACCTTTTTTTTTTGAATGACTTTTAATCTATAATTTATTGAAATAAAAACTGTTGTTTTTCAATAAATTTAAATTTGAATATTCAAATTTTTAGATTACTTTGTTTTCGTAAGAACTGGCTTTAAAATGTATACAATAATTGTTAATAAAACAAAATTTACTTTAGTTCAATTCAACATTAGCCTACTTACTATATAAGCTTATTGATCACTACTCTCTACTTGTCAAGTAACTTGTCAAATGCATGTATTGCAAAATGTAGGTTCAATGATATGGTATGGTTGTCATGGAAACTATAAACTTTCTGTTGATTAGTAAATCGGATGTGATAGAGAAATTAGAATATTTATTCTCTTAAGTAAATAAATCACATTAGTTTATAGATTTGCGCAAATTCATAATTTGAACGTTCGTCACTTTTTAAAATCTATACAATAATTGTTAATAAAATAAAATTTACTGGAGTTAAAGCCCACTTACTATTTATGCCTATTGATCACTACTCTCTACTTGTCAAGTAACTTGTCAAATGCATGTATTGCAAAAACTAGGATAATCAAATAATGTATGGTTGTCATGGAAACTATAAACATTCTGTTGATTAGTTAATATGTAATTAGAATATTTATAGATTTGCGCAATTTTGTATATATTTGTTAAAATTACTTCTCTTCCATCTCATTAATCTTATTTATTTATAACAAAATATCAATTCTAATCATTTCAAGTTTCTGAGATCGTTTGAAAAATTCTTTTTGATTACTTTTGATCATGATTTCCGCAAACTCTACTTGTCAAGTAACTTGTCAAATGCGTCTATTGTAAAAACTAGGTTAAATCAAATAATGTATGGTTGTCATGGAAACTACAAACTTTATGTTGATTAGTTGTATTCATTTCAAGTTTCTGAGTTCGTTTAAAAAAAATATTTTGATTACTTTTCATCATGATTTGCGCAAACTCTTCAAATTGAAACATTAGATTATTCTCAACATTATTACATAAATCTCATTAATAATTGATGATAAAATAAAAGCAAATTCGATTATTTTCCAAAGCTTCTGACTTCCTTTTCGATATTATTTTTTTTGTCGAGAATCAAGATTTGCGCAAATTCATAATTTGAACATTCGTTACTTTTTAAAATCTATACAAAAATTGTTAATAAAACAAAATTTACTGGAGTTAAAGCCTACTTACTATATATGACTCTCTACTTGTCAAGTAACTAGGTTAAATCAAATAATGTATGGTTGTCATGGAAACTACAAACTTGCAATTATATCAAAGAAATATAGATCTTACAAATGAAATAACATTGATTTTACTAAGATGAAGGCATTTCTAATAAGTTTCAAAGTTTCAGGCCAAAAGCTTAATTGTCTGTTTGCCGAGTAACTTGTCAAATCGTAAATTGAATGTATTCGGAAACGTTTGCAAGTGTTATGGTTGTCATAGAAACTATAAACATTTAGTTTTATTGATATTTGACTTGATGCAACTGTTTGAATATTGAATTGACTTACGTCATCTTTTGACGGTTCTCCTTTATGCTCGTCCATGAAGACGTCGAAATCCTTGAGGATCTCCTCCGGGTCCATCTTCATGTGCATGTCGACGAAGGATTTGGAATCGGGAAAGACTTCGGCCATCTGGACGGTGTGCAGCAGGTTGCCCTGACAGTAGATCTTGCTGTCACATGTCGGTGGCAACTGTTTCTGTTGCTGTGAGGATAATGACGACAATGACGACGAGGAAACAGAGGAGGCCGCTCCAGCGATCAGCAGCAACGCGACGACAACGTTCGTCGGCAACAACATTCTCGATTCGTTTCTGAAAGTCCGTCGAGCGGCGTTCACGCTTTATACCCAACACCGAGGACTTCCATCCTCTTCGCACCCAATATCCGATACGTGACGCTTCTCTCGCCCGCACAAAATCCTTTAGAAATAAATATTTATTTATTTCATATTCATTTTCGTTTAGTTCCGATTATGCCACGATACGTTTGATAACATTATCTAAAAAAAAAACAAAAGAAAAAAAAAAACGAAAAACCTTGCGTCAATTCTAATTGCGTTTTGATACTAATAACAATAAAAACATCACCTGTCCTCGTAGTTTGCAATTCTGTTGCAACTTTCAATTAAAAGCTAAGTTTACAACTTTCACCTACAATCATCAACTTTCCAATTAACTTCTATCAAATTCGTATATATTTACGCAAAAAGAATTAGCGAAGATCTTTGAAATTCATCTCGTAAATTGATAGAAAACAACAACAAATAAATATATGATAACATGGGATTTTCCTTCATCAGATTTCCACATGAAAATTCCAATTATAGTGTAATCAACTAACAGGGATTTCTATTTTCATTATTTGCAATAACAAACTTAGTATTTTATCAAATTTGAAACTTTCTCGAAATTGTTATTTTCTAAATTTATTATATAAAATTATAGCAATTTTATGTAACAAAACTCTTTCAAAATCATCTTCTTGAACTTAGATTTTGCAGAAATAACAACAAGTAACTTTAAGTGAATGTTAAATACTAATCAATGATTCAATCAGGTGTAGTTTGCAATTCAATCAAACTTTATTACATAACTAATTTTATAGCGATTTTATATAACATCTTTCAAATTCATCTTCTTGTAGATAGATTTTGCTGGAATAACAACAAGTAACTTTAAGTGAATGTTAAATACTAATCAATGATTCAATCATGTGTAGTTTCCAATTCAATCAAACTTTATTACATAACTAATTTTATACTAATTTTATATAAAAAAAAAAACATGTTTTAAATTCCTCTTTTTGAAGTTAGATTTTGCAGGAATAACAATAAGTAACTTTAAGTGAATGTTAAATACTAATCAATGATTCAATCATGTGTAGATTCCAATTCAATCAAACTTTATTACATAACTAATTTTATACTAATTTTATATAAAAAAAACATGTTTTAAATTCCTCTTTTTGAAGTTAGATTTTGCAGGAATAACAACAAGTAAGTTTAACTAGATGTTAAATACTAATCAATGATTAAATTATGTGTGGTTTCCAATGCAACCAAAGATTATTACATAACTAATTTAATAATGAACATCTTTATATTCATCGTCATTCTTGCATTATGAATTTCGAATAATTAACAAGAAGTAAACAACAAAAGTATATTTGATAACTTTGGACTTTCCCTTCGACATATTTTCGGAGAAAATTCTAAATATATAAATAACAAATTTCAAAGAAATTTCAACGTTCATTAAGCAACAGAAAACTGATTTCGTAATATTTTCATTTTCGATAACAAATCTAGTTAGAAAAATTTGTATCATCTTGCATAAATTGTTACTTCTCAAAATCTATACAATAATTGTTTATATGCGTATTGATCACTTACTCTCTACTTGCCAAGTAACTTGTCAAATGCGTGTATTTAGAAACTGACGCAAGAACTAGGGTGAATCAAATAATGTATGGTTGTTATGGAAACTACAAACTTAAAATTATGACAAAGAAATATAAATTTTAGAAATGAAATAACATTGATTTTACTAAGATGATTTCGTAATATTTTCTGTTTTTGTTTAGAAATTTCTATTACAGAGTTTGAAACAAAAATTAACAATTAAATTATTTTATATTTTCAACTTAAAATTAGTAATTTGTAAATGAAATTGTTCAATTTAAACGTTTTTCTTTGGAACAAAATGGAAATTATCATGAACTACAAATTACTTGTTTTCTTTTACGTTGCACGAAAGAAAAAAATGTAACTTCACCGAAGATTATCTTACAATTATTATTAATTGTCTTACTTGAACTTGTTATTCACCATAATAACAAATGCTAATTACAACTATTCACAATACTTTACACTTTTCAATAATTAAACAAACAAAAAGAAAAAAAAAAGAAAAAATACATTGTATTTGCTAATGGGGATTTTTAATGAGAACATCAGAATTCAACAACAAATTTGACAAGGTATATAAACAGTGCGGATTTCAGCACTGTTTGAAACCGCACTAATCGAGGACTTTAAAACCGAACAATAGAGAGATTCTAAAGAGAGAAAGAGAGAGGAATAAATAGAAACTGATAATTAATTTTGTGCACTAATTTTTTGAAGAATTTATTTTCATTTCACTTTGTATTGACAATGAATCCGCACTAATTGAGGTCGCATTGTTGCAATACGATTCTTAAGCAAATTTCGTAAATAGTTCATGCGCAAATAACATCAGTTTCTAATACAATTTCTCACAAACAATATCAAATTAGTTATGTAATAAACTTTGGTAAAATTTGCAGATCTACGCAGAATTTAATATATAACATCCAGTTAAAATCACTTGTTGTTATTTTTGCAAAATTTAGAATTAAATTGAAATATGTTTGTTTTATAAAATCAACAACTTTTTGATGTCGAAAAATTGATGAAACAAATTTAAATTACGCTTATTTTTTGTAATCTGACATAATTATATAAATGAAAAAAAAAAGCGAATAAAAGAACATTGATTGACGTCAATGTCGATTACCGAATTACAACTCAATTAACACCAAATTATTCGACAATTCTCGAGCCGAACAAACACTTTTATGTACTTGTTAAGTTTGTATCTTTTCAAGTATACATTTTTTTTATGTATGTACACTTCTGTTATGCAACGCCATCAGAATTGTGCCATAATTGAGCGATTATTTACATAATTTACATCCGCCACAATTCACGACAATTCAAGTGTTTTGGTATAAAAATATTAAAAAAGAAAACTAACAACATTCAGTTAGAATTCTAAATATTTTCGGTACTAAATATTTCTGGTATTGTTTGTAAGACTTCATTAAAAATTGATGATGTAAGAAGTCAAATTAAGGTTGTAGTGAGCCCATTTTGAGTATTAAAGCCCCCTTGATTTGATATACCCCAGCCTATTACGTCTGTTGTTGTAACTTTGTCTTTGACAATTCTTCGGTTATTGAAACGTCAAATTAATGTTGTCGTGGGTCCATTTTAACAATTGAAGCCCCCTTGATTTGAGACACCCCAGCCTATTACGTCTGTTGTTGTAACTTTGTCAGTGACAATTTTGCGGTTATTGAAACGTCAAATTAATGTTGTCGTGGGCCCATTTAAACAACTGAAGCCCACTAGATTTAAGAGTCCTCAGCTTACTGCGCCTGTTGTTGTAACTTTGTCATTGACAATTTTGCGGTTATGAAACAAATTACCGTTGTCATGATCCCATTTTATGAATTGAAGCCCACTTGATTTAAAACGCACCAGCCTACTACTTCTATGCGGAAATTCACTACTAACAACCGTTTGAGAATATAAATCGGTTCATTTTTTTTATATGAATTTGTAGATTTAAATGTTTCAATCAATTTTTTTTTTTAAAAAGAATTTACAGTTATTTGAATCTAAATCAATTTAGCAATAGAAAAAAAAAACTTGATTTTAATTACAAAATCAAACAAAATATTAGAATAAACATTGCGATTGTTTTTTTTGATATAAAAATTAGAATATTTTTTTTCTTAATTATTTACATAATTTCTAACTCAAAACGTAAAAATTTAAGTAATTATCAAGGACGAACAGTTAAATCCTAAAATTTGCATATAATTATCTAAATATACACAATTATAAACTTTTTTTTTTTGAAACGAAACAAATTTAAATTAAGTTTTTATTTCTCTGAAATTTAAGATTTTTTATGGTGAATTTATTAGTAATTTACACGTAATAGATCGAAAAACATTTCAATTTCCAAATTTATTACCAATTGGAAATGATCTTGTTTATTCGGAAAAACCACAAACGAAAATATTTCCAAATGATTTATAGAAATAAATATTATTTTATCAACATTAGATTAGATTCTTTCTTAATTCGCTATGTAGATTGCTATGGAAATCACGTAATTCCATTTTTTTTCCTTTTGACATTCGAATGTCAATTAGTTTTGTTGTTTTTTTTTCACTTTTTCAACAAAAACAAAAAAAACGAGGACGACTTTGTAAAAAATCCAATAAGAAGGACAATAAATAAACAACTAGAAACTGATACATTTGAACTACGTTTCATTCGGGTTTTTCCTTATTTTCCGCCCAATATTTTCCAAACAAAACAAATGCTAAATTTAGATTCGCCTCTCATATTTGTAAACGAAATTCTCGAGTCTGAGTCAATTTTGATAAAATTGTTATTATTCAACGTATAGTAAACATAATACGCATCAATTAAAACAGATTTTTTCCGAAAGAAAATGTTTTATTTAATAAGTATTCGTAGCAAACAAAGATAAGCTTCTTATTTGGTTTAAAATCAAATGTAAAACTATCAAAAACTATCATCATCAACGTTTTGGTTTTGCAAGTTTTTGTTTTGATTCATTTGTTTAAACTGGTTCTACCAAAATCTACATTTAAAATAGATTTTATGCTATTATAGCATCAAAAAATTATGGAATTTATATAGATTTTGGAAGGACAAACGAATCCTGTTATAAAATTCAAACTTTTTTCTAAATCTTAAGTTCATTAACTGTTTTCTTTCAAAATAAGTTGCTTAACTTTCCCAAATTATCAAATGTGATAAGAAATATGCAAAAAATTATAATAAATATTCAATGGTTGTAAATTAGAACAAACAATAGACGAAACTAATCACGAAAATGCGCATTTTTTTTTAAATAAAAAGAAAACTCATTATCAATCTTCGAAACAATATTCAAAAATTATCTTATCGAGTGGTAAACCGAAATTCGTTCCATTTTTTTTTGCACCGGATTCATAATTTGCATAGCCTTGGAAACGTTACTCT